TTTTTATTCTAAAAATGAAGAAAATGTTACTGATCACCTAGTAATTAGACAAAATACCAGCACACAAAAAGTGATTAAAATAAAATTACTATAAAATTAAAAGACCAAAATAAAATAACACAATTACATTAGTGACCAAAATAAAACACGCATAAATTCCTAAGTCAGATTCGAATAAAAATATAAAAGTGACCAACATGCAAAAATTAAAATAAAAGTAACTAAATCAAAATTAACAGTGACTAAATAAAATAAAACAACATCAACATGCATAATCAGAAATAAAATAAAAAAGGGTGACCATAGTATAAATATGTTGAAGCTGAGAACTTATGTATGATTTACCCATTATATATGTGAACAAAGAAAAAACACCCTAGAATATGGGGACCTTACGCATGATTACCCTTTTTTATACAACCATAATACATCTTTATTTCCACGTGAAGCGCCCAGAATCTGTAAGCTTCAACAAATTCTCCTGCCGTCGCACGTCTGATCTGCCTCCGGTGGCCACCAAAATTTATCGGGTGACTCGTCTCGACGGTAGTCATGGATCCGAGGTTCGTTTCGTCAGGGGGTGCTCCGACGTCATGAAATGGCAAAAAATCGCCTTGACTTTCCGGGCTCCGATCTGCGCGCCGCCGTTGGATCGAGCTCAATTTTCAGTATGTTCTCCCCTCTTCTAGAAGCTCTCCCTCCCGTTCGGTTCGTCAACCGACCCTCCGAACGCCGGCGAGATTCCGACAGAATGGTAAAAGTCCTTTTTCCTTTTTTTTGTTATTATTATTTTTATTTGAAAGCTAATAAATAAATAACATAAAATAAAAATGCTAAAAATAACTTTGATGATTTTTCTATGCTTTTTATTGATGAATTCAACTCTTCTTTTACATTTTTTGTTCGGGTTTATATAGCCCGAATTATACATTTTTTCTTGTTTTTTCAATATGTTTGAAAATATGTTTGAAATTGTGGCAGTGGAATGTTGATGAAGCGGTGATAGTGGAGAAATTGTGGGTAGCTTCCAGAAGGCTTGACGACGAACTAGAAAGTTGTTGTTGGCGGCTGATTTTTTTTTACCCGGACAAACAGGTGTCTACACACTTGTTTGGGCCTATTTATTATTTTCTTTCATAACCATGAACTATGACCTACGTTACGTGCCTTAAAAGTCTCTTTTAATCATACATGAATTTCTAAACAGAATAGACTATCTTCAGATTTCATCCCTTCCATCAAGATTAATCTTTATTTGCAAAATGTTTTCTAAAATCTTTAATGCATGATAGAGAAAAATAACAAATGAAAGTTCAAGACGTAAATTCTAATTACACCTTGAAAACAAAGGAGGATTCAAGTTGAAATCTGAAAAGACAGCTCGAATATAAAAATTGTGCAACTGAGGCGATCACACAATTCCTTGATAAGGTACCGCACAATCCGAACGTGGCCATGAAAGTTGGGAGTCGGAGAACACTTCCGGTAGAAGAGCTTATAAGCTACCACATCAAACCTTTGAGCGTTGAATAAACAAAAATGACAAACTGGTGATCAAACACAATAATCTGAGATTTTTTTCCATACTTAACCATTCCCCAAAGATAGCTTTGATCTTGACACTTTTCAAATAACTATAATTTATTGAAGGATTAACAATGTAATTAATTCTTTGATATCCAATGAACTCTAGTTTTATGATTCTCAATTGTAAAACTGTGAAAGAGACAATTTTCAAAGCTTCTGATTAAACATTTTTCGAAACTCTTTTAATTGATATTTCAAAACTTGAAAATATAAGAGAAAGAAAACATTTTTCAAACAAGACAATCTTTCTAGAATGGATCTTAGTAAATGACATGTGGTTCTCAGACACAAAACTCATGCTTAGAATCAATGATAAAGCAAGAAATGAGGGACAATGGGGGCATCTGAAGATTCAACATCGAATATTGGGGCATCTTTGGGGATTCAACATTCAGATGTAAATTACCAGATCTTCTGAAGGCTTTTCCTCCACATGCAAGCAGACAAAGAATGAGGCTCCATCCAAGAGATGAAACATAACTAATTCATGTTGTATGCATCTTAGACATACTTAAGAGCATCACATTTGCCATTTTTTGCAGACATAATTTTGCAGTTTTTAGAGTCAATTTCAACTTCACAACGAAGGATATTGGACTCAATAAACAACTTTTCAGTTTCATTCAAAGTCAATTTTAACTTCACAGTGAATGATATTGGACTCAACAACGACTTTCTAGTTAATTCAGAGTCATTTCAACTTCACAGCGAATGATATTGAACTAAACAAACGGCTTCCCAGTTTCATTCAGAATCAATTTCAACTTCCCGACGAAGGATATTTGACTCGAAGCAACATTCATCTTGAGATTGAATTTCAACTTCACGACGAATGATATCCAATTCAAGGCTCAACTTCACACCGAATGGGTCATCCACGGTTTTAACTTCACTACGAAGGGAATCGTGCTCACCAGTAACATTTATCTTTATATTGGATTTCAACTTCACGACGAAGGATATCCAATTCAATGCTCAACTTCACAACGAATGGGTCATCCACGGTTTCAACTTCACGACGAATGGAATTGCGCCTACCAACAACATTCATCTTCAGATTGGATTTCAACTTCACGACGAAGTATATCTAAATAAAGGCTCAACTTCACAACGAATGGGCCCTCCACGATTTCAACTTCACGACGAAGGATATCGTGTTCATTTACAGCATAACTCAAGGCTAAAAGGGTTATCTACCAACAAATACCTTCAAGTTCGATTATACTTAGTTTAAATGCACATCATTGCTCAAGGCAAGAAGAGTTATCTGCCAATAAAAGACCTTCGAGTTCGATTACGCTCAACTCAAAGGCACATCATTTATAGCATAGCTTAAGGCGAGAAGAGTTATCTGCCAGCAAAAGACCTTCGAGTTCGATTACACTCAGCTCAAAGGTACATCATTTGCAGCATAGCTTAAGGCGAGAAGAATTATCTGCCAACAAAAAACCTTCGAGTTCGATTACACTCAGCTGAAAGGCACATTATTTGCAGCTTAGCTCAAGGCAAGAAGGGCTATCTGCCAACAAAAGACATTCGAGTTCGATTACACTCAGCTCAAACGCACATCATTTGCAACATAACTCAAGGCGAGAAGAGCTATCTGCCAACAGGAAACTGTCGAGTTCAATTCTATTCAACTCGATGACAAATCAACTACTTTCTGAAAGAATTTTCAAGCCAATGTCTTTAAATCGAGAAGAAGACCAAGGCACAATTCTAGGATCAATTCGAATCCCAATTACAGTTGTTCCCCAACAGCGAACACATCAAATTAAAAAAGAGAATCGAAAAAAACCTGGTTGTCTTTTTTCGTCTGTCATATTCTTGTTGACACAAGAATTTGCAAAGAGGTGCAGCTGTAGACACCCGTTTTGTCCGGGTCAAAAAATCAACCGCCAACAACAATTTTTCAGTCCGCCGTCAAGCCTTCTGGAAGCTACCCGCCGATTTCTCCACTATCACCGCTTCATCCACATGCCACTGCCACAATTTCAAACATGTTTTTAAACATGTTGAAAAAAAATGTATAATTCGGACTATATAAACCCGAACAAAAAATGTAAAAGTGGAATTTGATTCATCAATAAAAAGCAGAGAAAAATCTTCAAAGTTATTTTTAGCATTTTTATTTTCTGTTATTTATTTATTAGCTTTCAAATAAAATAATAATACTAAAAAAGAAAAAGGGCGTTTTACCGTTCTGTCAGAATCTCGCCGACGTTCGAAGAGTCGGTTAACGAACCGAACGGTGAGAAAAACGTCTCGAGTAGAGGAGCAACATACTGAAATTTGAGCTCGATCCAACGACGGACGACGTAGATCGAAGCCCAGGAAAGTCGAGCGATTTTTTACTATTTCACGACGTTCGGAGCACCCCCTGACGAAACGAAGTCCAGATCCATGACCACCGCGTCGAGATGAGTCTCTCGGTAAATTTTAGTGGCCACCGAAGGTAGATCCAACGTGCATCGGGCAGGAGAATTTGTTGAAGCTTGCAGGTTTCTAGGCTACTTCACGTGGAAATGGAGATATATTATGGTTATATAGAAAAAGGGTAAATCATGCGCAAGATCTCCATATTCTAAGATGCTTTTTGCTTGGTTCACATATCTTAATGGGTAAATCATACATAAATTCTCAGCTTCAACATATTTTATACTATGGTCACCCTTTTTTATTTTATTTCGATTATGCATGCTGATGTTGTTTTTTTAATTTAGTAACTGTTAATTTTTTATTTAGCTACTCGTCGTTGAGTTAAGCTGAACTGGATTCGTTCTGGATTGGCTTTCGAATCTGTCTGAGGTTGATTCTGAAATTGTCGATCTTTCAATTGGTCAATTGGTTGAGGTGTAGCTCCTCGCTGAGTTAAGCAACCACCATCAATTTCTGAAAGTGTTTCGAATAAAGTATCTTTCTTCTGAATGTTGAAACTTGACTCTAAAAGTTGCAAAACCAGTAAACATTCTTATAAACTCTAAAACTTAATTTATTTGATAATTGGCACATTAACAAAATAGAAGATATGGTTTAAGGGAGATAACCAAATAATATGTCCTAATTAAATGGTCACTGGTGGAATTTTTGGGTCAATCGTTTTAAATTTTATATTATAGAAGCATGTCAAAAAAAGAATCACACTGCTAACACCCCTGATTCTTGTCAATGCTATATAGATATGAAAACTAGAAACAGTTAACTCACAGCAATTAATACCTTTGCTATAATACCAATACCACATACAAGCCACAAATACACATGCAAATTTAGCAGAAAAAATTATATAGGAGTGAACCATGGCATGCAAGGTGTTGTACAAAAGAAGATGAATAGGAAACCAAGTACTAAACAAGGTTAAAGAAACCTGATATTATAGTCATGGGATGGATCTTGGCAGCCGCTCTTTTCTGCCTCCCTTAAAAGTTCTCCAACCAAAACAACAGTTCCCATTACCAACCTCATCATCTTGAACTTTGGAGATATCTAAATTTCAAATTAAGGTTGTAACCTAGTAAAAAAATTCTCTTTCCAAATAAAACCAATGATCTGTTAGCATGGTCTATTGAACCGTTTACAATTCTTCCATGAACTCTTGTGTACCAAAATAGAACTCATCAAACTCCTGCTAGTTTTAAATGTTGAAAAAAAAACACCAACCAATTTACTCATAAAGAGTAGTCAAGACAATGAAATGAATGAGCTACCAATTAAAACTTTTGCAGCAGGGTTGTCGATATGAAGGGACTTTAAGATGGTAGCTCCATCATTAGTAACAACGACTTCTTGTCCTCTGCCCGTCGACTGTAAAATTTTATCCTGCCAGATAATTTTACCAACAAAAAAGTCAAGGATTTAAAGTAGAAAACAAAAATTGTTATTCACTTATTAATTCACATACGCAATGTGGAAAACTTACCATTCCTTTTGGCCCTAGGGTTGTCTTAACCAAGTCAGAATTGTCCGTCCAGCTCAGTTGGTAGAGCGCAAAGCTCTTAACTTTGTGATCGTGGGATCGAGTTCCACGGTGGACAATTCATAATTCTGACTACCGAGGTTTTTCGCGGAAGCTGCTCTCAACCTAGAGTTGGGGGCAGTCTACTCCTTACCTCCCCTCATCCCATTACATATGGGAACAGGGTCAGCTAATTTTTGTTGTCTTAACCAAGTCAGAAATTGCAATTGCCCCAACAAATGATGCCTGAATGTAATAAAGCTCATGAATATCATATGTTTCTGAAAATAAGATGCCATAATAACAACAATGCAGAACAATATAATTTCAAACAAGTAGTAGAAATATGTTTTTATTTAAAACATTTTATCTGAGTTCAAAACATAAAAAGCATAATAACTCACCATTCTGGCACGCTCCCCCTTCTCTTCACTAGCGTCATCTTTAAGAATTTTTTCAATCTATCACATTCACCAAATAACAAGAAAAAATAAAATCCAAATAAAAACCATAGAAAATAATCTACCCACTTAAAATGGGTGTAACCAGGCAAATAACGCACCGCCATGGGATATAGCGCGGTCGAGAGTAGCTCAAGTTCTGGTGCTCAAAATACCCGAACCAAGGGGGGGACAAAAACAAAGAAGAATATTAATCTAACAATGAACAAAACGAAACACATCCAAATGCTGCTTAACAAACCAAAATTTTGTTTAGTCAGCCGGTAAAAAAGTTATGTTCACATTTCCCTTATACATCAATTCATCATTTAACAACTAACGACGCCAAAGTAAAACCATAATCCGGATAAAAGAAGTGGAAAAAAAAGAGAAACGAATGCTAAGTTTGAGAGACCCCTGAAATGTTTGAAATGAGTAAAGCTTTTACCAGATCTTAAGCGCGATAATGGAAAATTTGATATTGAAATCCGACAAGGAGAAAATAGAAAGCAAGGAGAAAATAGGAATTGCTGAGAGAGCAGGCTACCTACTCTTAATTAATGGGCTTTTATATCCCAATTTTGGTCTTATAAGGGCCATGAAGTTTATGCATTGATTTTTGATAAAATTTACCTAATATTGTTCCTAAAACTCATGTCAATATGATTAGTTCCATCAAAAAAATGTATTTTAATGGACGCAGAGTCTAATATTTATTATATTTCATGGAACTCGTCATATTAGTACGACGACTTCAATTAAAAAAGATTTTTTATTTTTTCATAATAATTATTTAAAAAAAACACGAAACACATCACGTCGACATGACGAGTTCCAATGGTCATATTGATAATTTTTACTTAATACAAAGTACTTAATTTTTTCATTCGAAACATTAACTCATACTTACATCAGAAATAATAACTAGTACATTACATTAGAAGCATTAACTCCTACATTATATTATAATACAATGGAAGCGTTAAATGGTTACCCCCATATATTAATCTTCACAGTCAATTGACTCGTCAGATATTAAGTTTTCAATCCCCACATCAAATATAGACTTTATTATTTCATTTACCCACTCCTCATCTAAAGACGAGTATGAATCCAAATCGTCAAAGTTTGATTCGTCATACTCAAAAAGACCATTCAGGAAATTAGAATAATTTTTTTTCATAAGTACATGATTTGATTCTCAAATTTTTTTCTTTCTCACTTCTCTTATAAACTCCATTAACTATCCCAACTCCTATTTTAACAAAAAATTTATAAATATGATTGTCGAAACTCGTCACGCTCACATGAAGAGTTCCTCATCAATTTAAAATCTGGTTGTTGCCCCATGGTTATAAACAACTAGTTTTTTTTAAAACCAAACAGAACTCATCGTGTCGGTGATTTTTTTACAAAAATTATTTTGGAAAAATCTATAAATAAAAAAAAGTTATTTTTTAATGAAACTCGTCATGCTGAGGTGACAAATTCCAAGAAATATAATAAAATATTAGATCCAACATCTGGGTCTATTAAAATATATTTTCTATAGAATTCATCATGTCAGCATGCCGAGTTCCATGAACACTATAGAAATTGTCATAGTTCCCTAAATAAATTATTTTGTGTCTTATTGGGCTAAATAAAAAGATCAAATGCCCTATTGGGCCAATTTTCCTTGATTTTTGGCTTAAATGTATCTCTTAAAATATATTATTTGTATTGAGTTGTCTCCTAAAATATTTTTCAATGACATTTTTCCCTTTAAAGTTTAATAGTTATTTCATTTATCTTAATCAATTAGTTTCGTTAAAATAAAAAATTAATGATCAATCAAAACACCCAAGGCCACTATGGGTGTTCAAAAATACCATACTCGATATTTCTCCTGGACCCAAATCACAAAATTACATTTTTTTTCCAGATATCCGATTACCCAAATACATTGTTACATTTATTTTTATATATATAATAATAATAATATTAGATATTTAATTATTAATATAATTTTGTTAATATAAATTGTATGTTTTTTTAAACTTAATATTTGAAACTGATAAAAAATGGGATATCGATTACCCGAATTACGAGTACTCGATTACTGGGTACCCACTACATCTGGGTCGGGACACGAGCCGACCAACCAACTACCCAAATATCCAAGTACCCGGATTTAAACACCTCTACATGCCACCCCTTAATTTTATTTTTCTAAAATAAATAAAACCTCAGTTGTCGCGCCACCACAACTAGGGGTGTGCATTATCGGATATTGGATATCCAAAAATTTCGGATACCTAAATAATGATTCGTATCCGATCCGAAAAATCGGATATTCGAATATCCGGATCCGAATCTGAATCCGATTTTTTTGGCAAAAAATTCAAAAAAAATTAATATAAATTAAAATATTCATATTTTTTCTCAAAATCAACCCGACCTAATTGACAATAACAACTAATAAAGATGCTCAATGAATAAATTATGGGAAAATCCTAGCAATTTCATCATGCTATACAAAGAAACGACAATGGCATAATGTTTCATTCTAACAATGGCAACCAATAATTTAGTGAATTCCACAATTGAAGGCTTTGGTTACTGGCCAATCATCTTGTTAAACACAATCAGAGCATCACCAACACTATCGAAGCCTCATACGTTTTCCCCTTTCCATTTACAGAGACGAATTTCTATTTAAAGCATCGATGTTGGTAGCAAAGGGTTAAGAAGAAGAAGAAAAGAATTGTGGAAAATAGAGCGTATGTGAAGCAAAGCCTCGCGAGAGGGATGCCCTAAGCAATCATTAGAATCCCTTGCACACCTAAAAGCTCATTCAGCATTTGTCAAACAGTTACGCACAACAAATGCCCAATCGAAACACTGTTAGCCATGATGAAAGGAAAACAGACCAGGCAAGAAACAACAATTTCTAATTTCAGCGAACATGGTTTAGACGAAAGGAAAACATACCACTAGTCTAAACCATTTCTAATTTTAGCGATCAGAATTGGATTGGATTTGAGAGCGTTTATTGGCAGATACCAGCAGACACGGTGGTGATGGTGAACGCCATGATAGCAGCGATGATGGCTCATGTGTCGGCGTCGCACGAACCACCCAAGTCCAGAACCCCCATCAAGTACTCTCGTCTCCAAGATTATGGCTTCCGTTACTTGTCAAACAAACCATGGATGAACAAAGACGGGTAGAAAATTTAATATGGAAAACAAAGGAGGGGCTAAACAGGCCGGCTCTGGCAGGGGCAGAAGGGGCGCCCGCCCAAGGCCCATAAAATTTTATAATTTTTATACTATATATTTTTTAAACATAGGACCCATAAAAATTTTATAATTTTTATACTATATATTTTTTAATCATAAACACATCAACATCGCCATTTGAAAGAGGAACGGAGCCATGGAAGCATAGACACATCAACATCGCCATTTGAAAGAGGAACGGAGACCTGGGCCGAGGCAAAATGGTTGCTATTATTTTTTTATTTTAATAAAAAAATATCAATTTTTATACTATATATATTTTATAATTTTTTAAAATTAAGATATCATTTCTTTTATTTTGTCTCAGGCCAAAAAAATACCCAGGGTCGGCCCTGGGGCTAAGCGAACATGGTTTATACGAAAGGAAAATAGACCAGGCAATAAATGCCCAAAAAAATTTTGAGTTTTCGGATAATCTGAAAATAGTTTTTGCCCGATCCGTATCCGATCCAATAACCTGAAAAAAATTTCGAATACTGATCTAACTATCCGAAAATTAAAAAACAGATCGGATATCCGAATTTTCAGATCGGATCGGTCGGATCGGGTTTTTTTTCACACCCCTAACCACAACCAGTAGAAACCTACAAAATCTTTGACTTCCCTTCCTCTCCTTCCAGGTAAACAAGTCCAAGTACTCTAAACCTCAAACCTTAGAGATTTATTGCTCTCTAACAGAGAGTGCACTAGCAAAAATACTTTGGAGGTTTGCATTGTTGAAATCTATGCCAGCAACAAATGTTTCAGAATCAATTTTTTTTTGCACAAAATACCCCTTTATAAGCACACACATCTAACCTAACCTATATCTTCAAAATTTCCAAGGGGTAGCCAGTGATTATAGATTTTCATGCTTGGAGAGCAGTGAAGCATCGGTTCCTCTGTTTGGGTATAAATGTAACTGATTCCTCTACTAATTCAAACACCACCAACGACAACATCAACGCCACCGCCATTGTCGATATAAATGACAAAACCACCACCCAAGATGATGGTTGATTCATTTTGAACTAGAGGATTTAAAAAAGTTAATAGCAGGAGCCAATTGTATTAAATGAACAAATAATACATAGTAGTGTTGGAATTGACAACGAGCTCGAAGGAAGAGTAGAAATGGAGCGTTAGACGGAGATGGGTGACGACGGAGAAAACCAAGAGGCGTGGGCAATGGGTAAGGGAGAACTGAGGGAGTTAACATTTGAAATTGTATTAAATGATTAAAATATTATTTATTTATTTATTTAAATTAAAAAAAATAAAATTAAGGATATGACGTGACTTGTTTTAATTAGTTATCGACTTTTTTATTTTAACGGAGTTAAAAGAATAAGAGAAACAAGGCAACGATTTGAAATTTAGTGGACATTTGATACAAATGATATGCTTTAAGCACCAATGATATTTAAGTCTTGATTTTCCACAACTTGTACCAAATCCAATTGGTTCAAGCTTAATCAAGGTTAGAGTCCGTAATCCTTCATTCATGTATTAGGTCATTAATAAATAATAAGTTAGAATGTAGAGTAATTAAAAATGGTGTAAATACGAATTCATCAAGTGATTTTAGTAGTTAAAAAGAGTGATATTTTTTGAGATCTTTGATTTGAACAACTGTCTATAGAATGTATAGATTATAAATGGTTAAGAAAGATTTTGAACATATATTACATTTGTAATTATCTCATATTACTAAAATAGATTGTATAGACTTTAATCATTAGTATTTAATATTAATTAATTAATTAATTTTTATCAATTTATATACTCTAGTTAGATTATTTTTAGTCCTTTACATTTTAAATTTTAAAATCTCGTAACTTAATTAATCAAGGGAAGGGAGGGTGACCGAGATAATTATCTCCTTAAAACTTAAATTATCATATTTTTCTATTGATAATTTAGTTTTGCTCCTAAAATTTTATAAGTTAGTATGCTTCTAAAACTTCAGAAGTCCATCTTCTAACATTAAATCATGTGTTCATCTCTATAAATAATAATCATTAAATTTGTAAAGTCATATTTTTCTTTTAGTTCACTTATTTTGCATAAATTATAAATTTATTTATTATTCTCATTTTAATTCATTATAATTTAATCATATTATTCTTATTCTTTTTTAGTCTATTTTTTTTCTCTTTTGGTTCCAGGGAGAACATGAATTTTTTTACATACAAAAGAACTCAAACCTGAACCTTTACTTAAGCGATATCAAATTGTTTATCACTTGAACCAACCCAGTTGGTTTTGAGTCCAAATTTTTAAAGTTAGTAAAAATAGAGATTATGACAAACTATAGTATAATGATTAAATTAATTTATGCATAATACAGATATAAAAAATAGAATTAATTTAATCTGTTTATAACTATTAGTTTGTTCTTCAATATGATATTATTTGTTAAAAAAAATTTGAACGAACGAGTAAAGGAAATTACAGATTACTAAATAGCAGTAGAAGCATCCTCGCGCAAATAAACTTCA